ATGAGTAAAAGATTATATAAGCGTAATAATTCATCTGTAAACCTAGAAATGTACAGCCAATTTTGAAAGAGATGTACCCTAGCTCAGAAAAATGTTATTGAATAGGTTAATGCTGTTGTAATGAAACGCTTCTTCTAATTAAAAAAAAATATTCTATTGAAAAAAAAATAAATTAAAAAAAAAATTTCCAAGACCTTCGGAATTTAAAAAGCTTCCATTGAGTAATCTGCTGTTATTGTGATGGGTCTGTCTTTATGAGGACCTTGGCCTTCTCTCTTGCAACTTTCAGTACCTTTGTTTAGTCTGTCTTTGGTGTTGTAACTATGATGTACCATGGAGAGTTTCTTTTCTGGTCCTCTCTGTGTGATGTTCTGTTGGCTTCTTGTACTTGGCTGGATAAATTTCTCTGTAGATTTGGGAGACATTCTTGTGTGGTTGGATTTAAAATGTTATTCATTCCTTTGTCCTGGAGTTCTCTTTTTTCTCTGTCCACAATTTGCAGGTTTGGCCTTTTAATTCTGTCCTAAAATTCCTGCATATTCCTTTCCTGTGAATTTTTAAACAGGAATTTTCTATACTTTACCTAAAAGTATTTCTACCATTGATTTCTGGAAGGCAAACATGTTTGAATTAGGAAAACGGCAAGACAGCCCTCTGGTGGTGACTGCTGAACACTGCAGGAAGAATTCAGGCCCTGGTTAGTCAACAATGGGCTTCCTGTGACACTTCCTGAGACATCCATTTCCTGGTAAAACCTGGGCTGGAGTGGGCGGAGCCAGAGCAGAGGCTGAAACGTGCCAACTTCCGCCCGACTATCGGAACACCGGGGTCCTGAAAACTCTTCACGGACCCAGGGAGCACTACACTCGGGGAGGAGCGCGGTGCTGAACAGGTGGAGGGCGAGTCCTGACCGGTCTCAGCTGGATGCGAACGTTCACCCCAGCCACGGGAACCACGTGGAGCATTTGGTGCAGAGCGGATGCGGGTCGGGTCGGGGAGGGACTGGCAGGTGGGAAGAGAGTCCGGACGGAACCTGAGGCTGCGGGAAAGACTTCTGGTCATGTGATCGGAGTGGCCGGGACCCTCTGCAGTCGGAGTTGGGGGCTAGGGGCGGAGGGAGGTCCTCGAAACTCACCCGGGATTTAAACTTTGTTCTTGCTCATCTACAGCAAGGAGCGCAGGTCTCAAAGTTCGGTTGTAGAAATTTGGGTACGTTGGCTGTGCATCCTCTTATAGGTAGATTATTAAAGGTTATTGCATTCAGCTAAATTTAAGACCATATGAACAAAGATAAATCCTGATTTTTATCAGCAGTTTTATGGTTTTCAAAGTATTCTCATAAAAATAAACAAGTAGACTAGACTATTTGAATTAATGCGCTGATTTTTGCTGTTGTGGAAAAAGCAAAGCTGTTCTAGTGTAAATTCATCCGTGAGTTTTGACTTCCGTGTTCTACTTTTCTGTATCTAACGGAGTGGCATTTGGACGCAGGGACTTGCTGTACCGAGAGAGCTTGTTAGAAAACATCACACAAGCAATGCTTCTAGACTGCATTGAATGAAAACATATATTTTTAGCGGACATCTGTAGTTATACTTGTAAGCATTTACATTTAATACTTAAACTTCATTAATGTTCCATTTGAAATATATGATGTATGAAATGAATCTAGAATTTAAATATATATTCTTAGGTTGAGATCTTAATTTTAGACCGTATGTTAGTCCCAGCACTTGGGAAGCAGAGGTAGGTGGATCTCTGTGAGTTCAAGGCCAGTGTGGTTCACATACGGAGTTCCAGGCCAGCTGGGTCTACAGGGAGCCCCTGTGTCAAAAAGATCAAAAACAAAAAAACAAAACAAAAACAGCATTGTACACACCCTACATATAAGGATATTCTGCCATACTATTTGCACAGTTTGAAAACAGTAGAGAATATGAACATGTCCAAAAGCATCTTCAGACTACTATGATCCTCCCTACATCAGAAAACGCCTCTCAATCTCTTTGGCCTCCTTGATCCAAGAAAAGCAGTCCACCTGTGGACAGATGGTCAAACTGTTACTGTTCTTTTCAGGGTGTGTTGACAGTCAGTGGTGTGGCTGTGGACTTCTCACAGGAGGAGAGGTAGTACTTAGATCCTGCTCAGAGGCTTTGTACAGAGACGTGACTTTGGTGGAGAATTTCAGCTCTCCTGTTTCTGTTGGTGAGAATATTTTCTTTTACAGAAGTACTTTTAAAAAATTTATTTGCCCGGAAGTGCTTACTGGTCGTCTCCATGCGCCGGCTTCTGGGCGTCGGAGAACGTAGGCGCGAGGCTCTGACTGGGAGGTAGAGCAGCCTGCTCAGAGGCTTTGTACAGAGACGTGACTTTGGTGGAGAATTTCAGCTCTCCTGTTTCTGTTGGTGAGAATATTTTCTTTTACAGAAGTACTTAAAAAAAATTTATTTGCCCGGAAGTGCTTACTGGTCGTCTCCATGCGCCGGCTTCTGGGCGTCGGAGAATGTAGGCGCGAGGCTCTGACTGGGAGGTAGAGCTGGAGCGGACGCAGCAGGTCCTGCGCCCTGGACCGGAGATGTGGCGTCCGCAGGACTGGCCCAAGCCACCATGCTGCTCCTAACGAGCGCCGGGGAGGGCCAGGGCACCGCCATCACCCACGCTCTGACCTCCGCTTCTGTACTCTGTCAAGTTGAACCAGTGGGAAGATGGTTTGAAGCTTTTGTTAAGAGGAGAAACAGAAATGCTTCTGCCTCTTTTCAGGAATTGGAGGATAAGAAAGAGTTATCAGAGGAGTCAGAAGATGAAGAATTACAGTTAGAAGAGTTCCCCATGCTGAAAACACTTGATCCCAAAGATTGGAAGAATCAAGATCATTATGCAGTCCTTGGACTTGGCCATGTCAGATACAAAGCCACACAGAGACAGATCAAAGCAGCTCACAAAGCAATGGTTTTAAAACATCACCCAGACAAACGGAAAGCAGCTGGTGAACCAATAAAAGGAGATAATGACTACTTCACGTGTATCACTAAAGCTTATGAAATATCCGATCCAGTGAAAAGAGGAGCATTTAACAGTGTAGATCCTACTTTTGATAACTCGGTTCCTTCTAAAAGCGAAGCAAAGGACAATGTTTTGAAGTGTTTTCCCCGGTATTTGAAAGGAATTCCAGATGGTCAAATAAAAAAAAACGTTCCTAAACTTGGTGATGTGAACTCATCGTTTGAAGATGTAGATGGATTTTATTCTTTTTGGTATAATTTTGATTCTTGGAGAGGATTTTTTTATTTAGATGAAGAAGAAAAAGAAAAGGCAGAATGTTGTGATGAGAGGAGGTGGATTGAAAAGCAAAACAGAGCAACAAGGGCACAGAGGAAAAAAAAAGAAATGAACAGAATCAGAACATTAGTTGATAATGCTTATAGCTGTGATCCAAGGATAAAAAATTTTAAGGAAGAAGAAAAGGCTGAAAAAGAAGCAGAAAAGAAAGCGAAAGCAGAAGCAAAGCGGAAGGAGCAAGAAGCTAAAGAAAAGCAGAGACAAGCTGAATTAGAAGCTTCTCAGTTGGCTAAGGAGAAAGAAGAGGAGGAGGTTAGACAGCAAGCATTATTGGCAAAGAAGGAAAAAGATATCCAGAAAAAAGCCATTAAAAAGGAAAGGCAGAAACTTCGAAACTCATGCAAGACTTGGAATCACTTTTCAGACAGTGCAGCAGAGCGTGTTAAAATGATGGAAGAAGTGGAAAAGCTTTGTGATCGGCTTGAACTAGCAAGCTTACAGGGCTTGAATGAAATATTGACATCATCTACAAGAGAAGTTGGAAAGGCTGCTCTGGAGAAACAGAAGAAGTAAATGAGCAAATTAGGAAAGAGAAAGAGGAAGCTGAGACTCGGATGCGATAAGCATCTAAGAATGCAGAGAAGTCGACTGGTGGAAGTGGGAAGAGCAGTAAAAACTGGTCAGAAGATGATCTGCAATTACTAATTAAAGCTGTGAATCTCTTCCCTGCTGGAACAAACTCAAGATGGGAAGTTATTGCTAATTACATGAATCTTCATTCTTCTTCTGGCATCAAGAGAACTGCCAAAGATCTTATTAGTAAGGCCAAAAAGCCTCCAAAAGCTTGACCCTCATCAAAAAGATGACATTAACAAAAAGGCTTTTGACAAATTTAAAAAAGAACTTGGAGTGGTACCTCAAGCTGACAATGCAACACCTTCAGAACAATTTGAAGGTCCATGCACAGATTTCACCCCTTGGACAACAGAAGAACAGAAACTTTTAGAACAAGCTTTGAAAACGTACCCACTAAATACACCAGAAAGATGGGAAAAGATAGCTGAAGTGGTTCCTGGTAGGACAAAGAAAGAATGCATGAAACGATAAAAGAAACTCGTTGAGATGGTAAAAGCAAAGAAAGCTGCTGAAGAGCAGGTGCTAAATGCGAGCAGAGCCAAGAAATGACAATCTTTGTTGTGTGCATTTTTATAATAAAACTGAAAATACTGTACAAGTTTTCACCTCAAAATTATATTTATACTAATAATCAAGAAATTTTATTTATTTTCAAAACATTATTATTTTTATTTTATG